ATTAGAATCCCACCGGGAGGATTGCCAAGGTGTGGGGCAGACGGCTATACGAATCGACATGCCTAAGGAAGGTGACAATATCCTAAAATTCGGTAACCACAAGAACCAAATGTCTGTGCCTTATATCATATACGCCGACTTTGAAGCCTTGGTCAAACCTGTTGAGGAGGCTGTTGGGGGTACCCCAACCACACTCAAAACACAGGAGCATGAGGCCTGTGGGTTTGGATACGTGGTCGTCAGGTGTGATGGGGAAACGAAAGCTCCGGTAGTGTATAGGGGCCCTGACGCGGCTGAAAGGTTTCTAAAGTGTTTGCGGGAGGAAGAAAAATTATTAGGAATGCACTGTATAGAGTCGCTCCCATGCGTATGACCCAAGCCGACAGGCTAGCTCACGCCTGTAGCACTAACTGCCACGTGTGTGACTCACCACTTAACGGTGATTCGGTGAGAGATCACTGCCACGTAACCGGTAAGTATAGAGGCGCCGCTCACAGCGCGTGTAACCTCAAGCTTAGAATCATCCCTAAGACAATAAACATCCCCGTGGTCTTTCACAACTTGAGAGGGTACGACTCTCACTTAATCATGCAGGCCATCGCGAAAATCGATGGTAATATAACGTGCATCCCCAACAACATGGAGAGATACATCTCCTTCAGCTTAAACGGCCTTAGGTTCATAGATTCAGTACAATTCTTATTGTCGGCGCTAGACAGTCTGGTCAAGGCCAACGATACCTTCCCTATTACTGATCGATACACAGACGCCGAGACTAGACCCCTGCTTATGAGGAAGGGTGTGTACCCCTATGAGTACATGGATAGTTGGGCCAAGTTCGCCGAGACCAGACTACCCCCCATCAGAGAATTTTACAGCAATCTGACTGACTCGGAAATATCCCAAGACGATTACTCGCACGCTATTAATGTATGGAATAAACTAGGTTGTGAGAATCTGGGTGACTATCACGACCTGTACTTGAGGACAGATGTACTGCTGTTAGCCGACGTGTTTGAGACGTTTAGGCGGACGTGTTTCAAGCAGTATAAACTCGACCCCGCATGGTATTACACCAGCCCAGGTCTGTCGTGGGATGCCTTGCTTAAAAAGACCGAAGTTAAGTTGGAATTGCTCACAGATTACGACATGCACCTATTCATTGAGAAAGGCTTATGAGACGGGATTTCCATGGCAACCAAGCGATACGCGAAAGCAAATAATCAATACGTGAAGGGCTACGACCCGAGCAAGCCAACCAATCACATTCTCTACCTCGATGCCAACAACCTGTACGGCTGGGCTATGAGCCAGTATCTACCCACAGGGGGATTCGAATGGGCGTCACATGAGGTCGATGTTATGAGCATCGCACCAGATTCGAACAAAGGTTATATCCTCGAGGTTGACTTGGAATACCCCAAGGCATTACACACATCACACAACAGCTACCCCCCTAGCCCCCGAACGTATGAGGGTTAACCCAGACTGGATGTCTGAGTACCAACATAACTTGTTAGGTGGGCGGGTGGCAGACGTTGAAAAACTCGTGCCCAACTTAATGAATAAGACCAAGTACATCGTTCACTATCGCAACCTACAGCTGTACATGTCGTTGGGTATGAGGCTGACCAAAATACACAGGGTGCTCGTGTTCAACCAGAGCCCATGGATGGAGCCTTACATCAGAATGAACACAGACCTCCGAAAGCTTGCCACCAGTGACTTTGAGAAAAATCTCTACAAGCTCATGAACAACTCGGTGTTTGGTAAGACTATGGAGAACCTTAGGAAACGCGTGACCGTGAAGCTGGTTCGGTCGAATGAGGAAGACAAGCTCAGGAGACTGATAGCCAGTCCGGCATTCAACCGTAGTAAAATATTCACCGATGACCTAGTTGCCCTACACATGAAGAAAAGCCACATAAAATTCAACCGGCCTGTTTACGTGGGGATGAGCATCCTCGATTTATCCAAACACCTGATGTACGACTTTTACTACAACGAGCTTAAGAAACAGTACGACGACAGGTGTGAAGTGCTGTACACTGATACGGATTCCCTGCTGATGGAGATTCGAACCGAGGACGTGTACGAGGACATGAAAAAAACACCTCGATTTGTACGACACCAGCGACTACCCCAAGGACCATGCCATACACAGCACGGTAAATAAAAAAGGTCCTAGGTAAGATGAAGGACGAGTGTGCTGGCACGCCCATAGCCGAGTACATAGGTTTGAGGCCTAAGATGTACTCCATACTGAAGGCCGACAATGGTGAGATCCGGAAGGCGAAGGGTGTTAAGAAGTACGTGGTGAAACAACACATCAAACACGCCAGATTCAAGGAAGCCCTGTTCAAGACCCGTACCTTTAGACATAAAATGAACACACTTAGAAGTGATGGACATAGGATATACGGACTGACAATAAACAAGACGTCCCTGTCGCCTATGGACACTAAACGTTGGATAGCTATTGATGGGATAAACACGTACGCGTACGGGCATGAGAAAATTGAACCAAGAACATAGGTGTATGTAGGCGACATGTCACGGAACCAGAGAAAGTTTGAGGCTATTTACTATAGCCCACGTGGGTACTGGAAAGGAGCTAGCGCTGTAGATAAGCTGGCTAAAATGGCGCGAGTACCCCCGGGAGGAAGCCAAAGCGTGGCTTGAAAAACAAGCCCTGTGGCAGATCTATTTACCGGCACCACGCTACGTGCCTAGAAGGAAGTTTGGTATTAACATACCTAATAGCGTTCACCAGGCAGACCTACTGTTCCTACCCCACGACAAGAGGTACAAGTATGCCTTAACCGTAGTGGACGTAGCCAGTCGCTACAAGGAAGCCGAGCCCTTGACCACGAAAGATTCTGCCCAGGTAGCCAGAGGATTCGAACGCATATACAAACGCAGTCCGCTGACGTGGCCAACAGAGCTGCAAGTTGACCCCGGGCGGGAGTTCATGGGCGCCGTGTCACAACTGCTAACCAAACACGATACAAAGGTCAGGCGTGGCACGGCTGGAGCCCATCGCAGCCAAGCCATAGTTGAGAGATTCAATAGGACTTTGGCTGAGCGCTTATTCGGACATCAGTATGCTAGGGAGATGGCCACCCCGGGAAAACGATCGACTGAATGGGTATCACGGCTCCCTAAGGTGGTGTCGGCAATCAACCATGAAGTCACCCGGCTCACTGATAAGAAACCGGCAGACGCTATCAAACTAAAATCAATAGTTGCAGAGTCGGCTGCTCCATTGCGTGGAAAAGAGAAACAGATACCAGATAGGGCCCTAGTTAGGTATCTATACCAGCCGGGGGAACATGAGGGTGATAGCCGTAAGCGAGCCACCGATCCTATATGGTCAGTCAAAACTTACAACATAGATAAAGTGGACATGAAAGCCGACGAGCCTAACTTGTACTACTTGAGGGATGGGCCAGGTAGGGGGTTTGTAAGAGCGGAATTATTGATCGTACCGTACGGCACAGTGTTACCTCCAGTCAACACGGCATAGCGGCACGATGATGCAATCCCAGGATAGACCCGTTAAACCCGACACACTTCAGCCAAGTCCCTGGTAGCTCAGTCGGTTAAGCGGCGCGGTTGTGGGGTATACATGTGGAGTTCGTATCCTGCTGGCGTCTCAAACTTTTTTATAGTAGGGGTAATGGTAGCAAGAGCTAAGGTGAGGACCAATCTGGTTTAGTATGACGAATACATTCACGATTCTTGCACAAAGGATATTGGGGACGTTAATAAGTTTGTGTTCATGCATTGTAAACATTATGTGGGTGTGTTGAGTGTTTTCTGTTGTTGGGTAATTGCTCCGTTCACTTTATCGACAGATTTCAAGGGTACTCAAAATCCGCATAAACAAATCTGTGAGTTGCGATCAAACACTATTTTGGCAATACAAGTATGTTTGTTACTTGAAGCCTTGTGTTTCAGGTCTATATATGTTCGGAAATGATTCATTGATATCCTAACCGACATGCTAATATAACTCTCCATTAAAACTGTATTAAGAGATATGTGTTTTGAACGTGTAGATTTGAACGTGTTGAACTTACTTTGAAATAGAAAGCATATACCACTCACCTATGGCAGAAGTAAATGTGAATTAAGCGAGGAAAACGAGTGAATCAGGGAAATAAAGTATGTCACTGTATATATGCATTTTGCATATCGGTTTTCTCTTTGCATGTATGAGAGGCAGTTACAGTGTGTAGCTCAGCAATATTCCAGCAACATCACAACAGGGGACACCAAAAATGGGATTCACACATTGTGCCCATGTGGGTAATCGAACTCAGGTTTTCGGCGTGACGAGTGAACGATTTAACCACAAGGCTATCCCACCACCCCAGTTCGTGAGGAAACAATACGCGTATATTCTGGTAAAAATATAGCAAATCTTGCAAGTTAATCTCCTAATCATACACTACTATCATTACTGTAAGTCCATGCCTGACACTCAAACAAGATGACGTTTGAGTAGGTTATGATAAATGACTTTTGTTCATAAACTTAGAGTTAAACATCACGTTGTTTCAGAGCCTTGAAGTCCTGTGGATGTTCAGTTTGATTATGAGCAGTCCTTCTCATTCCATGATATGAATGACTTGTATTTTTTCAAATTTTCACAGGACACTTATATAATGATCAGGAAAGGTATTCATTCTCAGTCACAAATCCACACGATTTGCAGATTCAAACCCCATTAAACAACGTTTATTAACCTAACAAATTGCAGTTCCGTTAATTTTACACTTTTTTTAATACACTCTCATACTCCTTTTCACCAACGTAGGGGAGAGTGTAGGTCTGCTTGGGACATTCCTCCCTGAAACGTCGTTGTCAATTATAAACTGATATACTGCTCAACGGACCGATCAACAAAACGTACTCATTTATGCCTTTCGCCGTCTTTTATTCGGATATGATTTTGTCATTTGAAAGATCTTATTGACCGATGATTGTATTTGCAGGTTTTGGACTCCTGGAAGCTGGGGCCGTGTCATCGAAAAATGAAGTCAACATCATGGTGAAAAACGTAGTGGATATAGTGTTTGGGGGCCTGACATACTGGGCCTATGGATTTGGACTTAGTTTCGGCGAAGACCCCGGTACAAATCCGTTCTGTGGGATAGGATACTTCTTTGTGGACTCGAGTGATGAAAATATGGGTATCGTGTTTTCAACGTTTGTGTTCCAGCTGTCTTTCGCGACCACAGCTACCACCATCGTTTCAGGCTGCATGGCGGAGCGGACTAAACTGTTAGGATACATATTGTTTTCATTTTTCAACACAATTGTTTACTGTTTTCCTGCCCATTGGGTATGGGGATCAAATGGTTTTCTGAAGGAAATGGGATCTGTGGACTTTGCAGGGTCTGGTGTTGTGCACCTGGTGGGTGGAGCCTCTGGCCTTACTGCATCAATTTTACTAAAACCACGCCTTGGTAGATATGACCATGGAACTGAACCCCTTCCTATGTGCAGTCCGGCCAATGCAATTGTCGGAACCTTCATGTTATGGTAAGTATCGTGTTTCTAAATATACATCATTGCTCTTTCAGTATTTCAACCTTTTGGAAGGAAAAGTGAGTGAGTAAGTTTAGCTTTACGCCGCACTCAGCAATATTCCAGCTATATTCCGGTCTGTAAATAATCGAGTCTGGACCAGACATTCCAATGGTCAACAGCATGAACATCGATCTAGGCAATCGGGATAGGGTGACATGTGTCAACCAAGTCAGCGTGCTTGACCACCCGATTCCACTAGTAGCCTCTTACGACAAGCATGGGCTGAAGACCAATTCTAACCCAATCTTCACGGGTGTTGGAAGAAAGAACAAAAATGGAATAAATAGGTTTGCGCTGATACAAAAAGTGAGGTGAAATGGGGTTTAACGTCGTATTATTTCGCTCATATGGCGACATGCATGCGTATGTATGTGTGGCTGCTTGTACTAGACCAGACATAAGCTGGTTTTATAGTCCTAGCTCACTGAGATACCATGTCGCAGATAAGCATGAGTACCCCACATTATACTTGTTGTACCAGTCCTTGTTGTACCCATTAATGCCGAACGCCAGGCAGGGACCAACAAGCACCATATTTTAACGTCTTTTGGTACGACGCGGATCGAAACCGCGATCTTCCGCTCATCCGGGCTGACGCTCTAACCACTACACCAGGGACACAGAAAGGGTAGGACAAATGAAGCAGAACAAGCAGTCGAACCAGGCTGTTGATTGTACAGAAAAGAAAGACATTTTAGTGGCGTATATATATTTTCCTTTATCACGAGTATCCGAAATGCACGAGTATCAGCCAAATGCATCAATTTGAATCGTTTGAACCGTTGTTTACCACACACACCCCAAATACAGACTGTAATGCTTCTTTTCAAAACCATTTTGTTTCCCCTTTTATCTCCACATCACTTAGATATCGAGTTGCAATAATGAATCGTTTACGTCATAAGGGGTCATTGAATGAATAAGTGGATAAAAACACTTGTGTCACTAACAGTAACAGTAACAACATCGCATTATTGCCACTTATTATCCATAGCATGGACGTTTGCTCAAACCAACGGTGTCGTGTAGATCATATTCACATAAGGTATTTCAACACGAATGTTTAATGCATTTTGAACCAGACTATGCACGCATGATTATGATACAATTTGTATTTTCGAGGCAGGTAACTAATCGGTTTGCAGGACGCAAGAGGCATATTTTATGCGTCATAACTTTTCTGTTCACTTCTATTGTTTGCCACAAATGCGGTAACGGATTTCGGTATGCGTGCATTGAAGATTACACTGTAACGTTTGGCTTACTCGGTACTCATTTGTCCTGTGAAGTCTGGAGTGAGTGAGTGAATGAGTGAGTAAGTGAGTAAGGTTTTACGTCGATTTATGTCAATATTCCAGCAATATAACGGCAGGGGACACCAGAAATGGGCTTCACACATTGTACCCATGTGGGGAACTGAACCCGGGTCTTCGGCGTGACGACTGAACGTTTCAACCACTAGGCTACCCCACCGCCCCTGGATTCTGGAACGTCTTTCTGTAGATTTAGTTTAAACCCCTATTTCCATCATATAATAAGGATATACCTAGATCTACAAGTCTTTGAGACATGATACATTTTTCATAGCTGACAAGAAACACGCCTGAGGTTCTTCATTGAGGTTCACATACGTAAAAGACACCTTTAGTTCGTGTATTGGAAGCCATCAATGATGCATGACCTGATCATGTGTACAGGTTCCAGTAGTGAATATTCACTGACTCCAAGATACAGTAGGTAGGTGTTTTTCACCATGGCAACTAGTTAATGGCAAGCTTTGTAGCATATGTCACCCGTTGGCATTGCCACAAAGCATGTTTTTGCCATGTACTCTTTATTTTCTACTTTCAAATTAAAGCTAGACAGTATTTGGCAAGGTCGATTTAGTTTTCTATGGCATTTATTACGTGTCGCATTAGCTAATGTGCACATTGTTTAGAATAAGTGTCAGTCGATTGTCAGTTAATTGTTCACAGTCACGGGTTTGAAGTTTAAAAAAAAGATTTCGTATTTTATGTTTTGACAACACTGTCAATCGGCACTTTTATCACTGCTAGCCACAGATTAGTTAAAATTGGTTTTCCAAAAGTAAGGTTTCACATGCAACTCCTGGTAATACAATTTGTCGAAGCCAGTCTTTGTTTACTGAACGAATGATGCTGGCGATCAGTCAGCGATTCTTATCCTTTGATTATAGAATATAATTCAAACCTACACATACATTTAGCAATGATAGGACTTCTGCAATATTGATTTATGGTAGACGGTAAATGGTATCACAACATATCGTTTCATTAGTAGTGATGCTTTATTACCGTTATTGTGGTTGTATATAAGAGTCTGACTGATGTTTAATGGATGGAGTTTATGAGCTGACCTCACATGAACTACTGCTGGCTACCGTGTTGGCGAATGTGTGTAAGAAGGTCTGACCAAAAGGCTGAAACTGTTAAAGGTTCATACAAAGAGGTTTTAAATGTGACCGTTGGTTTTCTGCATATTACCTTCATAATACCTTCCGTTTCTTTGTTTGCCGTGGCCAGTGTTTGGTTTAAGTGTTTGAACTAGGTTTGTATTAGCATTTTCCACCACACTGTAGCCGGTGATACATTCTTCTTTTATTATAACAGAACAATGGAAATCTTTGAGATCCGGTATAATGATGACAAGACCAGAACCGTGATCGTGGAAATCTTGGTTTCGGATCTAACAGCAGTCAGCTGAGTTAAACAACTCTCCATGACCATTTGTGATACCGATGCACAGATTACACACTAACGGACTAGAGATTGGAATAGCCCTTAACACTGCTACCATAAGTGTCAAGTTGAAACAAATGTTACAAGTATGATATAGTTCGAGGCACTGATAGTGAGTGAGAATGGCTGTACGTAATATTCCAGCAATAGGCTTCATACGCTGTACCCATGTGGGGAATCGAACCCGGGTATTCCGCGCTTTCACCACTCGGCTACCCGTTGCCCCCGAGGGTTATAATATAGCAGTTGATATACAGAGCAAAAAGAAACCCCCAGCTGAAAACAAAATATCACATAGAATCTATACATTGCACCTTAATATCTTTATTTCTCAAAGACACACTGTCACTGTTATTTACAAAATAAGAATCAAACTATGAACGTGCCTATGATCCACATATAGAGTCTGTCGGTGACAGAAAATGGAATGTAGGCTTTCGTAACATTTTATCGTGGGACAAAATGACAACGTGTAACGCGCGGTTTCATGTATCCTTTGAATCCATACCTTGAAATGATTTATGTTTAGCTACGCACTAGAACAATGCTGGAAGAAGGAATCAATTGTTTGAATTGGGAATCCACAATGGTACTTGGAGTTTTATAATAGAACGGTCCAGAAAATGATAATTTACTCCCATCTTTGTTCCCAGGTGACGGGTACATACCATTCAAGGCTCATGCTCGTGGACAACGTCTGTGTACATAATTTAAACGGATCGATTTTTCTTTTATTGCGAGCTTTCTTTAGAATACGTCAATCGCTTTCTGATTGGATGTGAGGTCCAACGAAATGCTAGGTAACAGTGTTCTTTATATTTACATGAAGGTGTATAGTTTAGAATGTTATTTCTGTATACGTATTCTTTAGTGAAACAGACACACTAGCAATAGGCAGTGTTCAATACATGGCTCGAACATACAGTTCATTCTTTACATGCATTTGGTATTTGCCAGTGTTCACTTCTATCTCCATATGATATTTACATGTACAGAATATGCAACTATTGACACAATTTCCACATTAAATACATATAAATACATGTATTGGAAATATCGTTTTCAATCACGTTTTGAATTATATGTGCAACAATTATTTGTTTAATAGGTGTAACTATATATCATCAGATGAAATGCAGTTATACGTACATAGTCATAATAGTGATTATGAAGATATATCGAGATAGGTATAGCATCAAAACACATGTGTCTTGTCACTTCTTACTGGTGGTCAAAGAAGTTATATCCGTATTTTCGTATCAATACATTTGTGTAGAATCACATACAGTGTTCTAACGATCGATGCATGATTCCAAACTATATGGAATACAGTTTGAATGGCTTCAGCGTTGAAGAGATTCACGCCAAGCCAAAAGAAGTATAAAAATGGAATAATCAAATTTGTTGATAAGCGGCCTTCTATGTTGAATGAACTATTCTTGAACCTAATTTCGCCTACACAGTTTATCTCTCAGACTATTAAGGGTCATGGGCCAATTGATTCACACAGAGTTTCCGTCAATTCGATTTTTTGGGTACATCACCAAAGACGTCAAGGAAGAATATATACCTTATTTACTCTCTCTTGTCTTTTGAACAAACTGTGTCAGTGGCGGATGCCACACCTGGGACAGGCCATGCTTTCCATTTTCTAGAACACCCAGTGTCATCACATTTTAGTTGTCCATTCATGTTATTGTCACTTACTATTTACGTGCGATGGTGGCAGTTTGGGTGCAAGTCGAGACTGGTTATTCTTAAGCCTTGTCGGTTTATCTTTCCCTGTACAGACCATTATTGAGCTTTACGTACCAAAACACAAGGATGCTCCGTATGGCAAGTACATTTTAATTAGAAGAACACCTAAAGCTAACGCACATACCGATATCAAGGGCAGATTATTGATTTCGTACCCACAACAATATCATGCTTCTTGGACGTGGAGGGAAGGCCTTTGGAAAGAAGCATTCTAATATCATACAAGGATAATACTTATTGACATGTCCATTGCGATATATTCACCCACATGCGCATGATCATACCAATACATAAGGCATAAAAGCTCTGACAGAACATGAAAAGACAAAGACAGCGAGTAAAACCAGGGGGGAAGTAGCAGTAGTGACATCTCAAGAGATGCCAGCGTCTCGGTAATGGGATTGCTTGTTGTCGACAGGGAGAGGGAATTCAAATGTATAGCTTTTGCGTAGGCAACTGTTCTGGGACTATAAGACTGTTTCAGGTATTGTCAGCAGCTATTGCTGCTCTGCTCGAAGGCGTGTGGACCAATGACAAGGGTTGATGAGCTTCACGAGGTAGTTTAAAGCAGTTCCAACCTGGCATTGAAATGTCAGACAGAGAATATGTTCTACCCTGCCCTTTAGAGAAAACTAATGTAAGACTTTCTGGGCTAAGGTTAAGTCATAAGGTATGAATAGGTTAGGTATGAACAAAGTCACGACTTACAGTCTGTGAATCTCTGTCTGTGATATTAAGACTTGGAACAATAGCTGACCTTATACGATGACGGATGCTCAAGAAAAGGATGGAGGTGCAAATAGCAGGATTTTAAACTGTGATGTTTACAACAGATCTGTCAAAGGACGCCCTGAGACTCTTAAAGACGATAACTGAATGTTCTCATATCTTAATCATCATCATTCATTGTCCCGAACTGACTATTCCCAGCAAACAGTGACATTTATGAACCAACAAGGCGTAAAGCAGAAGTGCATTCCTCATTCCCTACATTGTTAAGCAGTACCCTTTAGTACATCCCCTGGGGAATTCCAAAATATAATATTTCCAATACTCGCAAGAGGTTTCAAGGTAATTAGTTATTTCTGACACTGAAACAGTCTTCAGGGTAGATCTTGAATCAATAGTCTTGCGTCAACCACCATTAGTAAGTGACTGGGTTCAAATTCCACTCTTGTGAGGATGGACAGGTGAGAAATTCACATTATACTGAAAGCATAATACAGAAAAGCAATTAGATTTAAAGCATTTCAATTTTTAACCTTAAAGGTTCTATGTTCAGAGTCCGACATACATGGGAAGGTAATTTTGTACCGAACTGACAGGTCACAATGCCATTATTTCGGACTACAAAGCTTCCCGTCCAGCAAACATGATCACGTTGATTGCGGCTACGGAATCAATAATCTCCCCTTGATATTGTTAATCTGCTAATTAAGCTTACATGCCGGTCGAAGAACCTTTGTAATTGGGAAAGTGAAGCTTTACATCATTTACCACAGGCGTATGCAGGAGAAATATAAACATAATAACCATTTGAGAATAATAAAAGACTAACCAGGCTAGATTTGGAGACGAAACAGATTCCTTTCGGCGTGAAGGGCAAACTACCATTGTAAAATATGAAAAGATCGCTTAAAATCTGTATTGAAACCAGGTTCTCGTCAAAAAGGAAAAACAAAGCCCGCCCTGTAGGTATAAAGCACCACATTAAATGCCATAGAAACTAAGCAGTGATAAACAATCATCATGTTAAAGTGTTATTCATTTCAATTTTCCTGTTCACTGAATCATCATATATTTACGCCTTTCTTCGCGACAAAGCCACCTTTGTACAAAAAGTTCAAAGATAAGACTATTGTTGCTTTCTGAATATTACGGTTGGGTATCTCAGTGATGAGAGCACTCGTTCTTCAAGCCGAACGTCCATGTCAGATTCCCTAGCGTGTGAACCCATTCTAGTGTATCTCGCGATCATGTTGCTAGAAGCTGTGTAAAACCATATTCTTTTACGTTTTCAAAAAATGTAATTGAACCCATGTTCTCGTACGTAAGTAAGAAAGCATATTTAATGCCCATGAATTAAGCTGGGTATACGCGTTAATGAAATAATATATAATATGTGCGCAGTGTAATTCAAACACCCGTGTCAGAATCTTAGTTTTAAAAGTTTGTCCCGTATAACAGATAAACGTTTTACATCAGTGTAAAGAGAACTTTATGATTATGTTCATATGTATCTACAGAACTGCTTACAAATTCCCAAAACAAAACAGTAATTTAAGCTTGACTGAAATAACATCCATATGCATCAAAAGATGCTGAGTATAAAAACAAATGTAACTGAAACACATCGGGCATATGACATTTTGTTGAAAGATTCATGTTAAAAGATATCATGCACTGACTATTTCAGAAACACTCTCGAGTATTAGACCACGCAATACCTTTTATTCTTTTATAACTAATAGTAACTTTCCATTACAGGTGGGGTTGGCTCGCATTTAACTGTGGCAGTACCTTCGGTATTTCCGGTGGCAAGTGGCAGTTGGCAGCAAAGTAAGCTCAAATTTCATTTGGCCACATTTGGGTACTTTCACGCAAACATCTCCTTTGAAATCTCTACAGGGATACCGTTCTGATGAAATAATTTACGGCTAATGACGCATTTGGCAGTTGTGAACCTTAAGTTAAAAGTAATGAAAAGTATTAAAAGAATTTTGCAACAAAATGCAGAGTAAGAATATACACCAAAAAGGCGTGTTCCCCATTTTTCAGAAGTTGACATCCATAATGCCTCCCTCTGACTTCTAAATGATATTCAACGCGATGTAATGTGTCTTTGAAACACATTCATGCTTTCCATTGGACAGGACAACACACCAGTGGCCGTGCCAGACAGGAACAGTCTTGCTATGTTCAAACATGTAACATTCAAAACTAAAACGAGCCATGTTTGAAGGTGTGATCCCAAGGAACACTTTAGTAAGACCACATCTTGTCTATGAAATTAACTTACACATAGACAACGGATAAACAAGGGATCGCTCCTGATATTGGGCCACAATAAAATTCTGTTGACACAGGAACAGTTTCGTTACTTGTATGAGAACGAGGTCCATGATGCACTACATTTCTATGCATACAGGGCAGCAGTCACAACGCTGATGGCTTCAACAGGAGGCGGATGTGCCGGGGTAGTTATGAGGTAAGAACACTAAATTTGTTGTTCATCAATGTAACGTTCATGCAATTTATTGGTATTTAACATAATTGCTGATTCAATGAACATATCGAAAATACACTGATTCCATTTTTACATAATTTGGACATATTAGGCATTTGGGACACAATTTGAATGTTGGGGACTAATAATTCACACAGAGTATCCTCTGTTGGTGGACCCTTTGTCGAAGGCGAGACGCAAATCGTTAGGCAACGTTGACCCCTTAGGCCGTTCACAAATCATTAATCGAAACGATGATTCGCCCTGAAGATGTTTCTGAGTATATTAACCCAAGTCCCCTCGCTGGTTTTAAACCTAAGACCTGAATATTTCTTGCAATCATGCACAAATCAAGCACAAATATCACATGACTGAAATATCACTCTTGCGATAAAAACATAGTCAGTATCGTGTGTCAACTGACTGTAGATGATGATAAATATTATCCTTTCAGCTTCATTTTCAAAAATAGGAAGTTCGACGTTGGATACCTTATCAACTCAGTACTTGGTTCCTTGGTCGCTATTACAGGTTGGTACATTTTGGAGGTAGGACTTGTCACAAACAGATGCATTCGTTCAAATACATCTTAAACATCTGACCTGTTCGTAAATTTGTGCTAACGAATATTGTCCTTTTCTCGTTTGCTGTAAAAACTTATGGTCCACTAAAAATGGGATGTTGTTACCGAGGACTTTCGACATGGCTAAATGTTATTGGAAAGTGGCATTGCCGCTTAACCTTTTGTCGGGCAAGACTTTTGAAATGACAAATTACATAATACATTTTAAAATAATTGCTAAATAAAACAAACGGTCCACATTTTCACATTGTAACGTCAAACAATTTTATAAGAGATTCTATAAGAGAGATATTTACAGATGCACTCAATGTTTTTGGATCACTATATACTAGTATTCGAGAAAAGGTACATCCTCCGCTCCTTATAGTATTTTAATACCGCTTTGTTGACTCTCCTGAACCTGATGTTTTGGCATTCATTTGCGATATACTCCTTTCTTCTCTACAGCAAGTTGTGCCTTGGTCCGGCCTTGGGAGTCAATAATTATTGGTATCATAGGAGCAATTCTTACCATGAGTTGTACCAAGCTTCTGGATGTAGCACGCATAGACGATCCAGTTGGAGCTGTTGCCGTCCACGGAGCTTCCGGAATCTGGGTAGGCATCATGTTCACCAGCTCCACCGTTCTTCTAAACGTCAGATCCTTTGTCATTCCTTTCACAAAATATTACCCTCCACTGGAAGCCAACCAGTCAGATATCATCAGATTTCATTGTTTCTGTCGGAGGAAACAAGGACAGTTGTCTGAAGATCAGCATGCCAGACTCTTTTGATCCAATTTGATGTTTAACGCTGCTTTCACAAATATCTGTTACCACATGGCGTACTAGCAAATGTGCAAAGACACCCAGTCCTGCAAGTCGTAGAGTGTTACCAGTGTAATGATGCCGATGATGCCGATGCCTGTCATGGTGCTGCGGCAGAATAGCCATAATAAGGTAGAATCTGGGATTCGAAGCCCAGGATTTGTGCTTAGATGTTTCATAGTTGATTAGGGACTTTAATGTTTTGATTGCAGGGCCTCCTTGCTGTGGGTCTTTTTGTTGAACAAGATCCTATTGAAAACTTGACTGGCGGTTTATCAGGGCTGTTTCGTGGGGGAGGATGGTATCTTCTTGGAATCCAGACATTGTCAGCTGTTTGTGAAATAACATGGAGCGGGCTGACAACATTCATCATGTTATTCGTAAGTAACGTCTGGCTCACCGCATCGAGATACTGATTGGAAGACATATAACGAATGCCTTTTTGCATGGTACACTTTGTTTGCTCATGGTAAGTATATACACTTGAAAAAAACGTATCTCAGCAAGTATGATTTCCAGCCCCACCCCATCCCACCCTTGAAGCCATTCATATCATATACAGTGATATTTGGATGATTATTTTGACCCATACATTAGTTTAGATATCAAAGGTGAGCAGCAAATATCATTACACGACTGTAAACATGACCTTGTGACGATCAGACAAAATCTGAATTTACATCGGTACATCACTCTAATCCTCTACAGGGCTCAAAGAAGCCTCTACAAGGCTGTTGTGCTATTTTTCGGTGACCATCTAAGCACAGGGCCATTCTTCCCGGGCAGCAATGATAGGTCAGATCTTGCAACTGCCGTTGGTGATTTCCTAGTCCAAGAGGCTGAATCAATTCTGGCTTGACCAGCCCGGAGTCCATACCTCAAACAAATAAAGCATGTTTGGGGCAATACGGGTTGCAAAATACACCGGAGAGATCCTACAGTATGCAGTCTTGACGTATCGAACTATCTCTCCATCAAGAATGGACCGCAATACCTCAACGTCTAGTACAGTCAATGATGATGAGGGTCCGGGTCCCCGGACATTATTGCAGGAGGTTACACCAGATATTGACATTGTGCTCGTTTTTTTATACTTATGTGATTTCTTGAGGATTATCTTTAAAATGACCGCACTTACTAACTATCACCACTACAAAATGAATCAATATTTGGCCATGTTTGCTTCTCTGAATACACTTTTTGCGTTCAGATGTGCAATTTAATTATTCCTTGAGGGTAAATTAACCCAGATAGTAAGTTAAATTCCTTTTGGTGTGGGTTTTGGTAACATATTGATACTATGAAAAATATGGGGTTTTGCGATATATTTTTCAATGTGTATATTTTAAGTTTTGTGCTCCATGGTTTGTTTGTTAAATTAATTGGCCAAAACCCAAATATATCACGGGGCCATATGAGTAATTACGCCCCAGTCAGACTCACAAAAACTGTTTTACATCTCTGCTGTTAACGTTTATCATTTGCATTATGTTGTGAAACACATAAAAACAGGGAATTGCAGGATATCTTTTGCAACTACCAGGGACCAATTCAAATCGGATAACACACGACACCCGGAATAAATTAAAACTTAATAATGTTCAGTTTCTGTCGATTTCAGATTATCATGAAAACAATTGGCCTCCGTATGGACCCTGAGGAGGAACGACTTGGAGCTGATCTTGTGGAACATAACATAGGAGCAAGGATCGGCGATACAATTCTCTTTTCACCTCGTCGAGACCCAGCTTCAAAGCATATCCGCCCTGCCACCGCTACCGGAAGTGATGACAACGCCGCGTCCATGACGTCGCTGAACAGTAATCAATCCTTATTTAAGAAACGTAAAGTGAAGCCTGAGGTAAAAGGAACAGAAAACATTTCTATGATATGTCAAGACGATGTGTAATGTTTGGTTAGATCTTGGTAACAGTCTGTCTGTAAACAATGTAACAAAATGGCGCTAGCCTCTGTTGATATTATGTAGACCTTGACATTGTATGCATTTCAAACAGCGTTAACGTTCATTGAAGCAGATATTACTTTATGAACACATTCGTCATTTCTTTGTTTACCACACTGTATGATGAAGTCGAACTATATGAAGCCGTCCTTCTGTATGATGAAGTTTACTGTATGATGACGGACAGCTATATGATGAAGTTTAACTGTATGATGATGTCTAGCTGTTAACTGAATTCGAACCGTATTATGACGTCCAACTGCATGATGACGTATTACTGTTTATTACCCACGTGGTCAACTTATGGGTAGTTGCATACTAATCTCGTACGTCACACGTCGTATCGCGTTGACCTGTGTCGTAACGACTTGACCTGAGATTCTAACGATTTGATTGGATAACCGATGACCTCTCAATTAGGTCACGTTGTGACGGATCTACTTTTTCATTCATAACAAACACGTGAATTCATTCATTCTACAACTTAAATGCATTGTGGGAATGTAAACATTGCGAACGTTGCCGTATCGCTGTTTAATTGTGAGGCGAACTGAGACATTATATCTGTCGAAAAACATAAACGCAATGTTTTCACCAGTGATGTTAGCTGAGTGAAGCAACTGCAAACTAAGAAACGGGGTACTACGGAGTAGATTAATGTAGGCGGCTGTACGAGGCGATGATAACTGACATGCTTTCGCTCGGTCAGATACCATAGGAAGGACACTCTTTTCGTATAATTCGTATGTTATGAGACCTCGTGTAGTATTCTCTATATAGTGACGTCTGGACATCAAGTAATTGACATCACGGGTAACCTTTCACATCATCGATCAACGGGCAATCCTATTAAATCAAGTATGACGTCTTTATTTGAGGCAATGCACTGACACGACGGCTATTAAAAAGGTTTTGTAAATAATCAAACAACGAGACAATTTCATTAAATGCATATTAATTTCAAAAAGTACCGAAAATATGTACTTTCACTAATACCTTTAGTTCCAATATTACAGTTACATACTGGACCGTGTCACATGTACGTTTCGTAATGTTGTTTTATATATTTGTTTATTTTGTTGTTGTCTAACGACGTGCTCGTGTTGTGTATTTTGACCCATGCCCTACACCGCCACACCAAATCACCGACCCTGTCACCCAACACATTAAGTTGTCTCGTACGACAATCCAATGTTCCTTGGTGTTGTTTCTAACTCAGTACCCCATGGGGGTTTATATCCCTGTATATAAAACAGTCAACGAGTAACGGAAAATATTATTTGCTACATGTTCATATCTAGTACTATTTTTTGTTGTTTTAAAACAGCTCTATCAAATAACCTGATTCGTGCCCAGTATGCCAAATGGAAAACAGTGATCTTGTATTCGTGTATAGTGTTGGTATATGAAATCCAGTGTCGATATTATTTCAGATAGCGTATACATTTACATCGGTTTTACACGTGAGTGAAATAAGCACATGGTAGAAAGTATGTGTATCATCTAACTTGATCATCAGCAACGTAGTATTTGGATGACGGACAATTCGATCTTTTTGTTATATGTATACGAATTCTAATTCTTCAGTATATGTACTGGGTGTTTTGAAATATGTGTATTAGTTAAAAAAACAACCACAAACCCTTCTCCTTTAAGCTTGTACAGTCGTTCATTTTATGGTATTATGCCAACGCATTGGCCGAGTCAGGCAACGAGGTGCAACAATTAAATGGTGGCGACAGTCGTTTTTACTTTCATTTTATATACACTCTTGAAAAAAGAGAAGCTTATAAACCATCTTTAGAAGAATTAAACACAACGTTTGCCTTTCTATAGTGATACCGCATGCTTTTACGCTTACTTGCACGTGCATTTTGCTTTGCATGTTTTCTTGGTGACGTTTTGGCGAATATTTCTTCAAACGCTTCTAAAACAAGGGAAAAAAATTGCCGCGTTTCGGCCCTGAAGCTGTTTACAATCACACAATGATGACGTTGTGGAAAGAAATAGTATAGTTGTATTGTTTCTGCCACAGCCACATGAGTCCAATATTCTCAGAATCACATAGGCGTTTCTTTTTTTGAAGAGTGTAGAAAATGATACTTGATTAGAATTAGAGCTATCCGTTCTGCTTTAAATAGATGTATAACGCAAGGCTCACCGGGATTTGCCCGCACAATGTTGATATTAATGGTTAGACATGAAATAAAGTATAGGTAAAATATTCAGGGGGAAGGTTCACAGTGTATCCACATTACACCGTCTGGTTTTATATAAATTTCCATATCTCCAGGGGATCCAAAACGGAAACGATTGTAAAGTTATGAATTGTATTCTCAACCAAAGCCAGTTTAGCTTCTTTAAGTGGCATTTAGAAGCTGGTATGATGAAGACAAGAAGTTGTCTATCCATTAAAATACTCCTCTTCAAAGCCAGTTTTACAACAATAGAACAACTTCAAAATTGAATCCTTGTAAACAGGTTTACCTGTTCATGTAGGTAACTGAGTGAGTATAAATAACCAGCACCTTGATTCAGATGTATTGTTCTGAAATCCATAATTTTAATTCAAAGCCTAGAGCGTGGTCCCCTGAGTGTGTGGTTAGAGTACTTTCTTCTCGTTCAAGCACTCATTGACGCAATACGAGCATTTATTAATTGTTTGTTTATTTTAGAATTGTTGTCTTTTATATAATATGTTTTGTATATTTTCATAGAAACAGATATCTGACAAGTTGGTATTTGGTTAAATATATCGCAACGACATCATTCTTACTCGAACATCAAATGTTACAATCAACGGATTTTAACAAGGCCTTGTACATGCGAAGTATTCTTTTATTTGTCACTAATGCACTCATACGATCATCTCACAGAAGATATGTTATTCTCTTAGATATATTACTGAAGCCAAAATTGGTGAAAACGATGCTGTAGCTAAAGGAACGGATGATAATAGATTCTGAATAAGCAGTAGTTGTCGATAAGTCTCATCAGCCACACCCTTAACAACAAGCGTTATGGCTGATTGCACAGATAATCCCCAATGTGTCTTACACATACAAAAGATGTTTTCCTGTTGCAAATTAAGCTCTTAATTATTTCATGAAGAGATAACCTTCTGAAAAGAAGTTGCAGAACCAGAGCCTTGTCATTCCGAAAGATACAAACCTTACGGTTTCAAATGAAAAAAAGCAGTCAAGATCCAACGATCGCAATGTTAAATACCTCGCAGTCAAAGAATGTCATCGAGCGATATCCAAAGGCTGAAGATCTAATGGATGCTCGTAAACTATCTGTAAGTATGTGTTGACTCCGGAATAAAGTAATGTTGTTACTTAATGATATCATTGTTGTTATTTTTGTTAGATAACCCTTTGTTCGTAAACCTTGTGGAATGTAAAATTAATAGTTACATTTGGTTACTATGATTGCCGATGTTACATTGTTAAGTTTGTAATATCAAGATATACTACTATTGGTACATCAGTTAAATAGCACGTCACCATTTATAGAATATCACTGAGGCAGTACTATATGGAATATACAGTTGTCTATCTTTGATGCTCCAATATTTATGAGAAACAATTCCAAATTCATGTCCAACAAAATGTATTCATTAAAGGTGCTCTTTGCTCCTTGAACTGAGCTCACAACTGATAACATTTTTATCAACATCTACCAATATGTTACAGGGAATGTGTGAAACCAGGGATTTCACGTAATGCCTGGAAGAGTCAGTGATTTCACGAAATCACGACCCCCAGGGATTTCATGTATTCCCTAAAATTTCAAGGGATTTCATGAAATTACTGAAATATTGGCTCAGGGATTTCATGAAATCCCTGTAAGCCCTTATTGAAATATAGAACACCAAATTTATAATGCGAGTATAGAGTATATCCTGATAAAATTCATTTGTTGGGACAAGATAGACTGTTATGATACAAGCTATTACACTTCAGTAGCACTTTAAAACATTTACAACGTATCGATTTACATTGGTTAGGACCACAGTTACATTTCAGAAAACCCTGACCACCACAATTCGACTCGAAAATCACAGCTATGTGGAGAAACAGTCCTTTGTCCATTGTCACATCATTCGTAGAAAGAAGACGCTGAGGACAAACATGAATTATGTCCAAATCCATATCCCAAAGCTCTTCTTCAACAGCGGGATGATGTATATTCCAAGTTATTTCTATGAATGGCCTAGTCTGTTTAAACTTAAACGTCTATTTTCAATAAAGAAAACAAAATGTTTGAAAAACCTCGCTAAATTTTTAAATGCTATATCACTGTAAAATGTTGAGCCATTCCGTACGGAATTATGAGAGACACTTCTGCCACAATATACAGAGTACGTGTGTAACTTATTACCTCCCCTACCAGTTTAATTACCAACTTGTAAAAGGTCCTGTTTCTATTTATAAACGAAATCGCTTGAAACTACAAAAGGAATATTGATACGCAACATTGATGTCGTTATATCAACACCCAACGACAAATTATTAATCATAACAATAAGATGCACTAAAAGTACTGTCGGAAATAGAAAAAACATGTTTTTAGGCTGTTACTCTGTCTCCCTAAAATTGACACAATTGCAAATAGCATATGTCGAGATAACCCATATCGGCCTAACTGGGCGTTCAGTGGGATGCGTAACGGGATATCCAGAAAAGCATGTTTACTCGTAAAATCTGGCAAAACTTAGAAAAAGTACGAATAGCTGCTGTAAACAATAGATCACACTATAGATGACAATTAGGTCGCTCAGCCAGGTATGACGACGGACCGTCGACTCACTTGACATGAAATGCACGTGCTGCCCACAGACACAAGGGGTCATCTCAAATATATTATACGCTTTTTCATGTGTATTGAATATGTCTCTATTGATTATCTAATCTTAGCTAATGTCTCTATCCCCAAGCCCGACCCCAACTACTGTCAGCAACACCCGTCTTGGTGTTGCTTTTGAGACGACCCCTCCTACCTGTTTCTTTTTATAGTGATAGTGAGACTCAATGGTATCTACATCCTTAATAGTTTCAGTATTAAAGTTGTTATTGTTTACGTCTGCTGTCGTTTATAATGAAGCTAAGTCTAATTTCAAAATGGACATTCAAAAAGTGTCATTTGTTATACAATATCATCGCACACTAATTTGCATAAAGCCATGGTCTGCTCCAAATAAGTCTCTTCGCACTTTGAAAAAAACCGCATTGCTCATTTCTGCACTAATCTCTCCTCAGTAAAATCCTTCTTTTAC